ACAATTTTTAAGGAGGTGAATCGACACCTTATGTCTACACTCGACACAATCGACACTCGTCATATCACACATGACATAAGGCTTCTTTTTAATCACTTTTATGCGTTATTTAAGGAGGTGAAATGACTGTCTTAATGTAGCCCCTGCATGAATCACGTACACTTTCTCCATCACCTTTTACACGTGTTTTAAGGAGGTGAAACGATTCGTTATGTAACATCTCGCGCGTGACGTGCTTTTTTAATCACTCTTTGCACGTATTTTGCTGAGGGTGAAACGACTGTCATAATGTAGCACCTCACGAATCACGTACGGTTCCTTTCCATCACTCTTTGCGCATGTTTTAAGGAGGTGAAACTACTTATTATGTAACATCTTACGAATGACGTAAGTCTTCTTTAAACGCTCTTTACGAGTTTTTTTAAGGAGCTGAAGCGATTCATAAATTTCCGACTTACTTACGGAAATAATGATTGATTTGATTTATCTCTCTACGGTCATCTTGTGCACACGAGGGCTAAACAGACCGGGACCTACAGTTTAAAGTGGATTCCGAACCACTCACAAACATCAATGCTGCTGCCAGGATTCGAACCTGAAGCCTGTGATACCAAAGACCAGAGCCTTAGCCTCTTTGGCCACCAGGCCGCACGGAAATAGTGAAAAAGAGAAAACAACGATATTTTTTCTGCAGATTCTAAGATTCATTTCTGTCGATTCTTTGCCAGCGATAATAAAGTTGTTAATTTGTATTTAAGCTGAACTATGGAAAGGAAAGAGACCTGGTCTCATAGCCCAGTGGCAACGTACGCAGAGGAGAATCCGCTGATTGCGTCCATTTCCAGTAACTGCTTTCGGAAACGATGGTGATTGTGGCAGTTTGTGTCACATTTAGGCCAATAGGTTACCTTAGGCCATTTTTTCCGGATTTTATTCACATGCACTTTTAGAAAATACGGATCAGTTACCCTAAAATTCCTCCAGGAAAGTAATGTGGATTGCTTCATTACCCATCTGGGGGCTGTTCGTGGCATTTATCAGGGGAAAGCGAGACCCACATGTGTTTGAATAGGTTTCGGTATGGGGCTCATATAGAAACCCGAGCAAATTCAAACATTTTTATAAATCCGTAGGCGAAAAGTCTACTACTACTGTGCCCAAAAAGTAAGACCAGTTACTTTTTCAAAAACTCTTTGTTTATTCTTCCGAATTTATTTCGTCGGCTAAAAGTGCATTGTGTTCAGAGGGGGGGATCTCTGAGCACAATGCACTTATGGCAACTTTTTGTCCAATCCTCAATGCGTGCTAAAAGTTGAATCTCTTCAATCGACTCAAAACGGTGTCCCCCGAGTGGTATTTTGAGTTTGTGGAATAGCCAGAAGTCGCATGGCGTGCATACGGTGGTTGTGGGACGATATGCGAATGCAAACGACGTCTAACTCTGAAATAATATTCCAATAATTGACAATTCTGCCGGGCGTAAGGAATTCATAATGCACCACACCACGGTAATCGAAGAAAACAGGCAATATGACCTTGATTTTTGAGCTACTTTGGCGTGCTCTTTTCGGTCTCGTTTCACCTTTGTCACGATATTCGCTCGATGGATCGGTTGTTTCCGGGTCGTAAGCATAAATCCAAGTTTCATTTCCAGTTAGGATGCATTTCAGCTTTTGGACAGAGTAGTATACTGAGTTATTAGAAAGAAAATGTTTTTATGCCATCAAAAAATGCATCGAAGCATTCTAAACAAATGTTTGATGCCTATTTTGAAACAGTTATTATTTTATTTAAACTAAAAGAATTACAAAAAAAAGCAATTTTTTTCCTTTCAACAAGCAGGAAAAGCAATTCCTGCAGTAAGCAGGAATTTAGAATAAAGGGTTCCACTTCTAGCAGCGCAGTCTAATGAAGGAAGAACCCTGATGGGAAAGATGTGCACCATGACGTAAATAATAAACGAATATCGTTGAAAATAATAATATTTTTTCCAACAATAAAAAAATCCTTAACGTATTTGATGGGTTAAAAACCCTGTAAAACAAATAGATATAGAAAAAAAAATGCTTGAAATTGAAAAATTGCTATTGTTGAAACTATTTGGCACGTATGCCGGCTACGAGATTACATTTATCTAATTTTATAATTTAGATCTAAAAAATTTTTTCCAGTTTTAGGTTCCTCAAATATTTTCTGTTGAGCAATGAACCAACGTTAATCCAAACAAACAGGTGGGGAGAGTTGCGTCGAATGCCTTTTTTGTTACTGGAAAGTGAATATAAAATCTTACACATTTTTCAAATAGATATTTCCAAAATGCAGTTGTAATTCTATATTTGTCAAGTACCTGCAAAGAGTTGCAATTGAACACCCAGATACGGATATTTTTGCTTCTCATTTTTCCACTACGTTTCTAGTTTTATAGAACAATTTTTCCTTTTATTTTTATAATAAAAATATTTTTTCAAAAATAATGAAGTCTCATTGTTTAAATGTGTTTATTTTTCAATTCCTTCTATTAGCTCACACTCTCCCTATATATCTTGTTCAAATTTTCAATCGTTCATGAAATACTTTTATTCTTCCACTTCAGTTTAAATACATTTTTTTTGAAATTTGTAGTGGGTGACATTGGACGTGAATACAGTTTTTTTCAAATATTAATTCATTCATTAAATTTAATTCATTAATTTAAGGTTTATAGGGGAGAAAATTTTTTTTTCTTTTTTCATTGTGGGTTCTAGGCTGAGTGAAGGAGGGATCAAAATGGAAAAATGAAACATGTGAATAAATGAGTGAGAGAGATGGAAAGTGTGTATGTGTGAGTGAGAGAGTAAGAGAGAAATTTTGCTAACTTTAATAACTGCAATGTAGTGAAAAAAAAAAAAGTAGGAATTGGAACCACTGGTACCACTAACTTAGAAATAAAACAAAACCAAAAAATTGTGCAAAAGGCGAAAATTGAACATGCAATTAAACAGAAAAGGGACAAAATAGTAGATGTTGAGAGATGTACGTACCCTGGAGCAATAGCTGATAGGAAAAAAAAATTTCGAAATTTTCAAAAGTATGTAATTGTTTAAAAAGTTAACTAAAGTTTGGCATTCGAATAGTTTAATTTTAAAGACAAAAATCAATATATTTAATTCAATGGCTAAAAGCATACTTTTACATAGAACCGAAACATGGATATTAAAATGCAAAATGCACTAGATGGCACCAGCTATTTGCTATGAATTACAAGTTACCATTTTGATATTTTGCTTCTGGTCTTATGAAAGCTTGCATTTTTAAAAAAATTCTGCTGGTTATTTGGAGTGTCTCGTTTTAAGCACATTTTGAACTAGCGATTAATACATGCTTTGCCATTAGAATTCCGAATTCCATAGAAATGTTTGTTGGTAGTATCTTATTAAAGATATTCACCACCTTATATATTTGATATAAAAAAATTAGTAAATTTTACATTCACACATGGTACAAGAAAATATATATGGACCTCCCTTATTCTCCAACATAAATGTTTTTCAAAGAAATCTATATCTAAATCTATGGTTTATGTCTAAATATGTATCTTATTCCAAAAATCTATTTTATGTACGTGCTTTAAAGAAAAAAAAATTACAAAAGAATAAACATCCAAAAATACAAAGATGACAGAAGTCATTGCCTTAAGACACGGATGGGCAAACTACGGCCTGCGGGCCAACTACAGCCCGCCGGAAGGTTCTATCCGGATCTATAGAATTTTAATTTGCCGGTCCGAGGCAAATTGAAAACTATATATATTTATATATTATGTATCCATCTCCTTTTCTACTTTGATTAAATAGTTTTTCCTTTTTTCAAAGAACTGGTGACCTTTATACTTTTTCTATTTTTGTTCTACAAAACATAAATCGATGGAAATAGCAAGCACAGAAGTATCTCATTGCAGGTTGAATTAATTGTGTTGCAATCTAACAGTCATCTCAAGCAGTTGTTTCTAAATATGCCAAAGTTAAAGTTTTACAAATCATTATCGAAAATAAGTTTCCCAAATTGAATATCTCACGGCCAAAAAATCAGTGCTATGTTTTCTTCATCTGATATATGAGAACAAGTGTTTTCAACTATGAATCTTAGAAAGAGTTATTTCAGAAGTAGACTGACAGATGAGCATTGAGCCTCGTTCCTTCAGTACATCTCACTTCGAACCTCACTATATGCAACTTTTAAAAATGAAATCGCAATTTCCTTCATCTCATTAACATATTTAAATTGTAATACTTGTATATTGTTTTAAAAATTTTAGAAAAATTTATCCTGGCCAGCCAAATTTTTTTTTTTTTCGATTTTCGGCCTGGGACCGAAAATGTTTGCTCATCCCTGCCTTAAGAGTTCTCTCGCACGCCAGTAAAAGCGCTGTCTCCGAGTCGCTGTCAATTACCGCACATCGTTGGAGAAGATCGCCAGTCAGAAGACGGAACTGGGTGACAGCATGTCGTCGCAGATTGCTGGGTATTGCTAAAAGATCTTCAGCTCTCCAACGCTTTGACTTAATCCCATCTTGAGTTTGTAACTTATGGTTTTTAGTCATTATTTGTTTGATATATAATTTTATAGAATGCAGTGACAGTGCCGAAGATCTCATTTGAAGTGGTTTTTAGTCTCTTTTTGCTAGACAATCGGCCTGCTCGTTCCCAAAAATGCCTAAGTGGCTAGGCTAAACTGCCAGAGGCTGCAGACCACTTTGCCGTTACAAGAGCATTGCCCAGGGAGCACCAACGAAGAGGGGGTCTACGTTGCACTCCAAACTATAAAAAGTAAATCGGTACAAATAAAATCTAAAGTAAAAATAAGTTTTTCAAAGTGAAATGTGTTTTATCTTGCTGAAAAGACCATACAAAAATAAATAAATAACAAGTAATATAAAATTTTTCTTAAAAGTCAATTCCTACTTTTTTTCACTATATTGCAAAAAGTCCTTTATAAATACAGTTGAAATTTTCCTCTTACATCAGGCGCCATCTATTGGTAGATACATGCAACTTAAATCTAAAAAAAGCTAAAATTAATGAATTAAATTTAATGAATGAATTAATATTTCAAAAAACTGTATTAACATCAAGTGTCATCCACTACAAGTTAAAATAAATGCATTTGAACTCGAGTGGATGAATAAAAAGTATTTTATGAACGATTGGAAATTTGAACAAGATATATATAGGGAGAGTGTGAGCTAATAGAAGCAATTGAAGAAAAAAATAAAACTCAATAAAGCTCTAATTCAGTATCACATGGTACAAAAAGCATACGAATATCTGATGTTGCGCAGCATCATCAGCATGTTTCATGCAGCAAGTTTCCTTTTTTAATCTTTCTCCCTTCAGCATTTTACATCGTTTCTTTAAGGAAGAGGGGAAAATGTGCAAGTTCTTCCTGTCTTTAACGGCAGACATTCATTTTAACCACAACCCTAGAACTAACTGATTGAGCGCGAAAAGGGAAAAGAAGAAACATTATGGGGATCGATCCCGAAATCCCTGTGTGACAAGAAAAAACGAATAAAAAAAAAGTGCTCTACAAAGCTGCAGACGTCACAAAGAGAATCGTTTAAAAAAGTTCTGCATTTTTTTTTTTTCCTTTCTGTTCTTAAGGACGGACA